TCAGGTGATTGAACAGTGTAAGAAGACTGATTAGGTCACAAGATGTCAGAGTTCCAGAAAGAGGTGATTTTATTGCTTTGCAGAGGGGAAAATTGTTCTTTAGTTACTCACTTGCATGCAAGATAAGAAAAATGGAGATTTTCTGCTGCCTGTAGTATTGATCAAAGACTCAAATGAGAAGTATAACAAATGCTGTCTGATCCTCTCTTTCTCCCTTGTGTTCTAATGCCAGCTGACATTTTTTTCTGCCAACGCATACATAGAGACTTCTAAAGGAAGAGAAAGAAGAATTGAGTTGTACCCAAATTAGAGCTGTAAAGTTGTTTATCTTAACAGGAACTGAAGAGGATGACAGGATGCTTTGGAAAGCTATTGAAACTTTCTAAGGAGACCAGTTGATTTTGGTATAGCTATAGAGGAGTTAGCAAAAAAATCAACAGCCCCATATTGTGAGTTCTAGGACCAGACCAATCAGTATTGATTAATACATATCAGAGAACATGAGGAACACTGTGACAATTTCGAAGTACTGCAGATAAGGTACCTGCTCTCCAGAAAGTGATTATCTAAATAGAGAGGCGGAGCAAAGAAATGTGAACGAAGTCTTAGGGGCTCATGCTGAAATATAAGCACATTGCTTAAAGGGAATAATGACACTCCGCATTTTACAGTAGAAGGAGGCCTTTTCAGGTAATCGTGGGTATCACAAGAGTCAGCACTGTGGAGTGAGGCTTCTTAAGAACTGGGAAGCCATGTCAAAGAAGGGAAAGGAGAAAGAATAGGTAGAGAAACAGATTGTTAAGATAGAAAAAGAAGGTCACAATAGAGCATTGGTTCTCAAAGTGTTTACTGACCTTTCGGAGTTCCTGAGACCTTTCAGTGGGTGTGTGAGGCTAAAATAATACTAAGATATTATTTGCCCTTCTAAAATTGTATTAACATATAAAATTTACCATCTTAACCATTTTTAAATGTACGGTTTAGCAATGTTAAGTATTTTCACATTGTTATGCAAGCAGTCTCCAGAACCTTTTCGTCTTGCAAATCTGAAACTCTGTGCCCATTAAATAACACTCCCCCTTTTCTCCTCCCACCCAGCCCCTGGTAACCACTATTTTCCGTTTCTATGAATTTGACTACATTACATACCTCATAAAAGTGGAATCATACAGTATTTGTTTTTGTGACTGGCTTATTCCCCTAGCATAAAGTCCTCAAGGTTCATCCATGTTGTAACACATGACAGAATTTCCTTCTTTTTAAAGGCTGAATAATATTCCATTGTATATATATGTATCTCTCTCTCTCTATATATATATATATACACATATATATATATACACACATATATATATATATATAGATATATACATATATACACATATATAGATATATACATATATATACACCACATTTTGTTTATCCAGTCTTTTGAGTTGTTTCTACCACTCGGCTATTGTGACGTTACTTGGCATTTTCACTAAGTTTACATTGACACTGATGATGATGCAAAAGCAATGGAAGGTGGAACTGCAGTGTGCTAGCACAAATCAAGATAGAGGTACCAAGCTGCACTAGTAGTTATTGTAGTCTTCATTGTCACACAGTTGCAATGGGGAAAAGGTCTAGTTCTACTTAAGACTATCTTTTTAATATTTTGTGTGACAAAATGGGAAATAGGTATTAAGTATTTCTGTCACATACTGAAATGGTCTTGAGGAAAAGCCCTTAAGCAGTTTGAGTTATGAGCTGAACCTAGCTGCTTTTGTCATGGAATGCTATTTTTACGTGAAAGAATGAATGCCAGAAAAACTATGGTTTTCAGGCTTGGGTATTTCATAGACGTTTTCTTGCAAATGAACGAAGTAAAACGCCTGTCACTTTCAGGAAAACAACCGTCAGTATTTATTGCCAGTGGTAAGATCTGAGCTTTCAAGTGAAAATCAGAAGTTTGGAAAATTTTGTATCTGCCACTGTGAATTTGATAGCTTCCCAATACCTAAAATACTTTTATGATAAGATTGGTAGCGATGTTAATGAATGTGTTTTCTTAAATGTTGTATAATGCGTGAACATTAAGAAGATTTGTATAGTTCAGTGAACCAATATTTTCCAATATATGATGTTACAAAATCCTGCATGGGTAAAAGCCATTCAAAGTGCAAGATAGACCAATGAATTTTGACATTATAACAGAGTACGAAAAATTCTTAGACTGGATTTTAAATTCCACACTGCAACTAACCTTTATGAAGCTACACTTGTTGAATTTTAGTGTAGTGTCAAGGGAGAGTATCCACAATGATCTAAAAAGGCTATTGAAATACCCTTCCCTTTTCCAACAACAAATATGAGAATCTAGCTGTCTTCTATTAATCCAGACACTAAAGAGATTTGCAAAATTATAAAACAACACCACTCTTTTTTGTTTTAGAAAATATAGTTCTTTCATAAAGTATGTTAGTATGTAATAAGTTTATTATTGTTGAATCTAAATTAATAAATATTTAAAAATTTTTCATTTTATTTTCTAATATGGTAAATATATACAGATGTAACCCATGTACACAAAAGCTCTTTTTTTAAAGATAATTTTTAAGAATATGAAGGGGTCCTGAGCCCCAAAAGTTTGAGAACCAATGTACTAGAGAAAAGTTATTAAGCAGGAAGGGATGGGATCCAGAATCTTGTCTGAGAGAAGAAGGGGTGGTTTTCAGGGAAGAAAAGCAGAGAAAGATCTGTGAAGCACTGATGTACAGGTAGCTGTGATGACAAATGAAAAGTCACTTTGGGCTGAAGATGGATTATCTTGCCTCTTTCTTTTCTATCTGTGGTATCTTGCGAGGTATTAGCAAGTGTTCTGTAATGAACCCAGATGTCTGCCCAATTTTCATGTGATAGGGGTGAGCTGTTATGAGTTGGTCGGTGGATTGTGAGCCCAGGTCAGCCCAGTAATTTGATTAGCATGGGAAAGAATGTGGTGAAATGGAATCTTTAGGACTGTGAACTTTCTAGTCTGTAACAGATTTTTACCACCTGTTTAATTTCCTGTAACTCACTCTCATCTCAAATCCAGAAAAAAAGTACTACCTGACCCTATCGTATGCAATGATTTACAGCATTATATTGCAGCTCAAATATATGTCTTCTCTTTTTTAAAAACATGCATTTTGCATTGTAGAGTAGAAAAGATACTCAACTCCACTTTTTGATTTTAGAATGGTTTCTACATGTCTTTTTTTACAAATTTGCATTACTGTTCAAAGTAAGGAACTTTGTGGTCTGTATAGCAATGTGAAATTACCAGCAAACAGGCTAGACTGTTCTGAGGGGCAGGACACATGGCTTAGTGTTCTGATCAGATGTGGTTTTACTATGAAGCTAATGAATGATAACTGCACTTCAAGGCCATTCATTTACATGGGCCCTTTTTGTATTCGTAATGTTGAATCTTTTTTAAACCTCCTACCCGCAATTAGCTTCAGGCTTCACAAAACCTAGATCTGAAGAGTTCTGTGTAAGGGTCTCGGGGATCTAGGAGTCAGCTCTAAAGACAATGTGGATGAATAGGACAGATACCTTAGAAGGGAGGGAATTTATTATGCTTGAAAACATCCACAGCATTGCTTTCAGGGCATTTATTCAGTTAGTAACTCAACCCGTGGCAATACTTATTCAAATTTAAAAGAATTTAGAAGACAAAATTTTAATCTGCCTACCACACAGTATGTATTCTCAGCACCAAGAAAGAACTCTGTTTCCCTGTGTAATAAGCTAAAAGCCGTTCTCACTGGTCTTCTCTTCAAGTGAAGCCTTTGAAGAGGAGTCAGTAATATTTTTACTTTTCAGACCCTCAGGCTTTCAGGGAACTGTAATAGTAATGGAAGGCTAAGTGCCCAGAAGCATTTATCCACTCTTAGCTTTCTTTTCTTTCTGGACTTTTCTGCCCTTTTCTCCATAGGTCTTCTACTATTTGCTCTCCCAATAATCCTCATGTAACAAGAGCAGTGGTGGCAGCAGCATGGCACTGTGCTGACTGCGAGCCGTGCATTGTCTCTGAGGGTAGACACTCCACTGTCCTTATTTTACAGATGAGGAAACTGAGAGAAGTAAGTTGCTGAGGTCACACAGCATAGAAAGTCCTAGAACTGAGATGCAAACCTCTCAAACTTTGGTGTTTAATGGTAACATCTTTACTTATTTCATCTTCCCGCTATCAGTCAGCTATCTTGGAATGAGAATCTGAGAAAATCTCAACACAAAGTGCTGTCTTAGGGCCTAGAAACCTTTTTTGTTCATTTGTTTTAACAGTGTAATGTTTTATTTTCAAAACTGGGTATTCGGTACAGAGGCATTTTTTTATTATTTACTACACTATACATATTTTATGAACATTCTTTTTATAGCTACAGAATTTTTAAAAGATAGTAGAAAAGAATATTGTTTTTATGAAATAAAATTTTTATTATTATAATTCCAACAACATAAAGTGCCAAGCAAAAAGCCCCATAGAAACATCACTACCCAGGAACACACGTTAAGTGATAATCATTCTGTAATATTCTTTATGTTTGTATATAGAAAGGATATGTAGATAGATAAAAAATTATTAGGTGTGTTTCAGTTATTTAGTGTGCATAATAAACCGCCCCAGAAGTTTGTGGCTTATAACAACAAAAACCAATTATTTACATAAGCTTAGAAGCTCTGTAATGTTTGGTAAAATATTTGTTACCCCAGCCAGTATCAGAACTGCCCCAAACACGGAGGAGTCTTTTAATTATCTAACTTCAATGGCCTCTAGGCAGACAGACCAGCAGTTGCCTCAGGTACATCAGTACGTACGGTCAATATCATTTCATTCCTTTGTTAGGACATGTAGTCCCATGTGCCTGGCACACGTAGAGACTTAATGGAGACCCATGAACAAATTAATTAAATGGTGGTGCCTTTTGTGGACCTGGCTCCTTAACACCAAATTCTCTTTTTGCCCAACTTAGGTATTTGGCTCGAGTAGGGGAGCTTGAAGCGACTGACACCGAAGACCCAAATCTAAATTATGGACTTGTCGTGGACTGTGGCAGCAGTGGCTCCCGGATTTTTGTTTATTTTTGGCCAAGACATAATGGGAACCCCCCATGACTTGCTGGATATCAAACAGATGAGAGACCGAAATAGCCAACCGGTGGTTAAAAAAATCAAGCCAGGTACTAACTGGAATATATTTCATTTTTGGTCTCTTTTATCTGCTACAGGCATGAAAGAGGAGAGAAGAGAAGGGGGAGAAAGCAAACTAACATTTTCTCTTGCAATTCTGGATAATGGGAGGGTTATCTCATTTATTGCCCCCCTTCTTACCCTCAAATGAACGAGTGTTTAGGACCTTAAGTGGAACCTTATGGGTTATTAGTCTTCTGAGTCAGAGTCATCTGCTTTCTAAAGAAAGTATTTTATCTTACTTAAGGAATCTCTGCAATGGCAGACACTCCAGAACATGCCAGCGATTATCTTCGTCCTCTGCTGAGTTTTGCTGCTGCTCATGTGCCTGTGAAGAAGCACAAGGAGACCCCGCTTTACATCTTGTGCACAGCGGGCATGAGGCTTCTTCCTGAGCGGTGAGATGCAGGGTCAGAGAAACGTGGGAAAATGGGTGGCACAGGAGTAGAAAGGCCGATTCCATTCATTGTTTTCTGTTGTTCCCTGGTCGAAAGTGGAATGTGGGTATACACAGAATTGATGGGTGGCACTAAAAGACCTCCTGCTCAAAAATAGAGCAGAGCCATCCTTGTACCCAGTATTGCACAATCAGTTGTTCATATCTTCATGTCATTTGCTTCTTTGGGGTCCATATCTCTCCGAGATGGCCATAATGATTCTTAGTTTTGATTGAGAGTTAGGAGCAGTGGTGATGGTGTTAAATATGGGTCATGAGGCACCTAGAGGGGGAGCATAATGACAAAAGGGTAGTAGGAGGGTCACCTGAGGGACTGAGTACCTGGGGGTAAGAAATGCCGCTTTCTCTGTAAATCTGCCTGGCTTCCTGGTGATAGTTGGTGCAACTTGCAAAGCTCAGGCTCCAGTGCTTTAGACCAGTTTTTTCAACCGTAGTCAGTCAAGTCTTTTCCACTTGATCTTGGTAGTTTAGCCTGGCATCTTGTTCCTCTTCCTTTGATGGAGGAAGAAGGAGGAGAAATGGGGGAAGAGGAAAAGGCAGCAGCCATACTTAGGTCAGATGCCTCCTTGTTTCTGATTTCTCCTCATCGACCACCTCCCCGTCCCCTCCACACTTATTATGGACATGGGATGAGAGTGAGCTCCCTTAACTTGAGAATCCATCCTTCTGGAATGTTCAGTCTCATAGGCATCAAGTATTTTTTATTAGCTTAAATATTTTTGCTTGGTAAATAGCAGTTCCTTTTTTCCACAAAGTTTTATTTTGTATACTTGGCCAACAACAACAAAAACCTCAGCCATAAATGTAGGGCACCATGCTGCTTATGCCAGACCACATAACATATGTCAGTGCTTCTTTCAGTGGCTTCTTCTATTTAGACATACTTCTGGTTTACTGTTGAGAAGCAGATTATTTTATATAGCCATTTGTCAACATGAGAGGCTTTCTTTCTTTTTATTTTCCCATATATCTTGGTCTTTAAAAAATTTTTGTTTTGTTTTTACTTATTTTTAAAACCAAACTTTAAAATATTATAATGATGCAAACTTACATCATTAAAAGAAATAGTAAAGTAAAAAAAAACCAAAAAACACAAAACAAAAAACAGTCATAATCCTACTACCCTATCAACACTATTTCATTTTGTCTTGTTCTCTTCTCTCTGTATATCTGTATGTAACTTCTACAAAGTTGTAATCATACTGTGCATGCAGTTCAGAATTTTTATTTTGATGTAATATTCACATTGTTCAAAATTTTAGAAACCCTGAGAAGAGTAGAGCTGACATAGGTGGTGCCACATCACAAGTCTGTGACTAGCCTTAGGTCTCATAACCAAGGAGAGGAGGAGGAGGGCCAGAGAAAAAGCTGACTCAGAGGTCAAAACTCAGAGTCAACAGCAGGGCGATGGTTTGGCCACGTTTTGTGTGTCTGTAGCAGAGGAATGGATTGCCTCATCTCCTGGCACTGCTCAGCATTGCCTCTGTTTGTCAAAGAAGTTTCTGCCCAAACAAAACCCATTATGTAGCTCCACCTGTTTGTCTAAAATGTTCGATGTCATCGTGGAAGCTCTGAATATTAATATTTATTTTATCCTAAGAATTGTTAAAGAATTTGCCTTTTCTTTTAAGTTGTTTTCTGATCACCTTTCTTAATAATGCCTAACTCTATCCTGGGCTTATGAAATCGTTGCTACCTGTAAGGCAGCTATAGGCATTGATATAAGTGTAACTATCGCTGTTAAGAACCTGTTTTGTAGTTAATGCTTTGTTAATTTATTAGCATTTGTGAACAATATTCATAATAGCTTTGAATCACATGGGCTGTATTTTTAATTTCTTGGCATTAGGTTTTATTTTTTTTTTTCCATAGGTCTAGAATAATGAAATTTATTCTACCTCCTTTTTATTTTTTAATGGAAAATCTTTAAAGCTTACAAAGGTAATACAGGTGATATTTAAAAAAAAAAAAACAATTGCGAGAAATTTCAAATGTATATAAAAGTAGAGAGAACAGTGTAATGAATCCCCATTTACCCACCAACCAGCGTTAATGGTTATCAAGGTTTTGCCATTAAAAGTTTTTAAAAAATAAATAGTATTGAATTTGAGAAAATGAAACTTATATTCTATTCTGTGCAGTATATGAAGAGTGTTTTGCTTTATTGATTAACAAAAGTTGGGCTCATATTGTACATTGTTCATTGTTTTTAACCTATTAGAACTCAAAATATATTGGACAACTTTTCATGTCAATACATGTAGATATAAATTGACCTCATTTCCTTTAACATCTGTACAGTATTACATCATATGGATGTACTATAAATTAGTTAATCAATTCCTATTGATGTACAGTTTAGGTTATTTCCAGTTTTTCATTGTTATAAATAATGCTGCAGTATTTTTCCTCTTTGTATTTTTATTTGATGATTTCCTTGCAATAGATTTCTAAAGGTGTAATAGCCAGGATGAAGGGTAAGCACATTAAAAATTTTGGTACACGGTCCTGGATTGCCCTTTGGAAAGGCTGTACCGGTAATTTACATTCCAAACAGCAATGTATGTTGGTGCCCATTCTGCCATATCATCACTAAAACCAGCAAACTCTCTTCTTTGAGTAGTTAAGAAGCGTATCCAATAGAAAGGGTAAAATAGCTCCTCTTATTCCTAATGTGAAATTCTTATTGCACTGATTTAATATGTATAACAATGAATTTTTTAGAAACTATACTTGACATTATATTGGAAGATTATTACATTAGTGTAATTCTCACTTTGAACTGATAACAACATTCTTCACTAAGTCATGCTGACAACCATCTGAGCCAGTGGAATATTTTGTAATGAGTAATTTTAAAAATCCAAGATAGTTGGTCTTATTTTTAGCCAGCATTTTCTCTAGATTCATATTATTACTTCTTGCATTGTTTCCTTGTTTTTCTTGTCTGATAATACTGATAACATAAAACTTTTGAGGAAAAAACAACCCTGTAGATGATACTGAGCTTCAAATGTTATTCCCAAGTTGTTGTTATGACCTTTGGCTTTTGATCCTGATTTGGGGTTTTCAAATAATAAGATTTTTGTAAGGAAAAAAGTTCAACTCTTAAAATATGGAAAAGGGGATTAAAAAGTTTATTGTAAGCTTCTGTAAAGAACTATGTAAAAACCCGTGGACCTATCAGTGCTTCTTGTGTAGTGAAGTGGGGCATTGTTTCTATATTGTGTAAGATCTGAGGATGAGATTTTGTTCCTCAATTTAACAACTTTCTTTCATAGTAGTTAGGAATAATGTAATTACATCTATTATAGATTGCAAAATTGTGCTTCAATTTCCTGTGGCTTATTTCTGCTCAGCCTGTGAGAGGTATAGAACTATAGTCTCATCTTTAAACACTATTTGAATTGTGGAAAAGTATTACTGTTACCATACTGCCTTTTACTTTGGAATCAAAGGAGGTACCAAAGAGAAGCCGGGCTCAACTAGGAATGGGGTGAACAGTGAGGTCACAACAAGGCTGAGTAGAAAGTCAGGTTGAGGCTGTTTGTGAGAAGAGAGTGTAAGGATTAACTTTGGGAATTTTTGTTCTTTCTTACAGGAAACAGTTGGCTATCTTGGCTGATCTAGTGAAAGACTTACCGCTGGAGTTTGACTTCCTCTTTTCACAGTCTCAGGCAGAAGTGATCTCTGGGAAGCAGGAAGGTATTGGGCCTTACAGGGAGCTTTGGTTTACTCCCAGCCAACCACGACAGTCTCTCTAATGGATGCTTAGGATAACATTATAAATCTGGTTTTTAATTTTTCTGACAATTTTCTTGGTTCTGCTATGTAGTTTATTTGCATATTCTGCATTGGTGTCTGTTTTGGAATGCTGCTTCTTGAAGTCATAAATTTGTATCTGTTTTTAACTTTGTGCTAAGTGCTGTGTTATATGTACTAGTATTTAATGATTCCAAACGGATCTTTGATTAGCTATTTTTAGTTCTGAAAACATACAGACATCTAGGAGTTGTACCGAGTTTGCCAAATTCAAATGAAAAGGAAGTTATTGGATTAAAGTAAGGAGAACTTTAATTTAAGGGAATGATCAGGAAGAATTACTTATGTTATGGGCTCTTCCTTTATTGCACTTACTGTGCAGTATTGATATCTTCCTAAAAACTCACACTATTGAGTTCGCAGTTTTGGGGTGGAGTTGAATGTGTATTCTCACATGGCTCAAATTTGATCTGTATGATGAGTTATATTTCCATTCCTTAAAAAAGATCTTTTATATCTTCTATCTGCAGTCCACATAAGGGTAAAGATTTACCTTTTTCAATTTCAACATTGCATTTTTCAGTCTTAAAATTTCCATTTCTTTTTATATTCTATATTTTTGCTGAGCCTTTCTGCCTTTCCATTCATTGTAAGACGGATCTTATTTCTTGGTTAGATAGCTGCTTTGATATCTTTACTAATTTAAAAACATCTCTAACATATCAGGGTTGGCATCTTTTGGCCATCTTTTCTCATGAGTTGAGATTTTCCTCGTTCTTTGTATGCCATGTGATTTTATATTGCATCTTGGACATTTTGAATATTACATTATGAGACTCTGGGGTTTTGTTTCAGTTATAAGGAGAATATTAATTTTTTTGTTTGAGCAGACAGTTGACCTGGTTAGGCCTCAAGTTGCGACCTGCCTTCTATAGGCTGTGATTCTATTGATTCATTTTTAAAATCCTTGGCACTACTATTTGGATTTGTCCCATGTATGTGCCAGCCAGTGGCCAATCTGGAACCTGGACATAGCCCATACAATGGGTTGTCTAGCCCTAGCTCAGTTCTCAAAACCTTTGCTATATTGTTTAGAGTCAGATCCATGCATATGTAGCTTGGAAGTGAGCCCAGGAGTCCATATACCACTTTATTCCCTCTCTCCGTGATCACCCGGCCGCTTTCTGGTTCCCCGGGGCCCACTTTCACCTTCCTCTGGTCAGAAAGCCAGGGTTCTAATTTTCCCATTCTGCCATGCATTCCTATGATTGCATCTGCATCCAGGATCAAGTGGTAGAGGACAGAGGGGGAAAAGGAAGCAATAGGGTATTTCTCCCAACTCTTGAAGCTATAGCTCCTCTGGTCAGAGAGAAAGATTCACATCCTTCAGAGTTTTAGGTACCTGCCCAGCCTTCACTTCTGCTGCTGCAGGATTGCCTGGTAGGAGAGAACAAAATAAATTTTAAAGAAAAAAAGAAAGAGATTTTCCCCTACTCTACTTTTACCTTCGGAATCCCCTTTTCTGCTCTTTAGAATAGAAAACAAGGTCTTAAAGTTTTTTTCTGTCTACACTGGTGTTTTCTTTTGTGTTTCAATCTCTTTTGAGTCCAGGCCAGGCAATATGTGAGAGGAAAAAAAATGGGAACCTCATTATCTGTTTGGTGGTTCTTTAAATTCTGACCTCTATCACGGTGCTCAAAGTACTCAGAACACTGCCACGTCCATTCTACACAGTTTATACTCACATTCAGTGGGGAGGCAGGGTGGAACATATTACTCCGTCTTGTCCAGAACCAGAACTCCAAGATTTCTCTTTTTTTACCATTTGTTCCTACACATCATTCCTATTCATTGTAGGAAACTGAGAAAATGCAAATAGTTTTAAAATGGAGAAACGTCACAAGATAAAAGATTTTAAATTCGTACACAGAAAGTGTGGAGTATAATACTATTACCAACTTTTTTTCTTTTCCAGGAAAGAGAGAATAAGAACAGCCCTAGGGAGAGGTGTATTCACGGTGTAGCAGTAGAGGATTAAGTGAGGGCTTTTGTATTTCTCTCGTAGGGGTTTATGCATGGATTGGAATCAACTTCGTTTTAGGAAGATTTGACCATGAGGATGGTGAGTAATATTGTCTTCTTATGACAGTTCTTTAAGGGCTGAAGGTCTAAGTCATCATCTTTGTAAGTGCTAATGTCGAGTTGTTTTTCTTTCCTTTTTTCTTTTTTAAAACTTAGATGCTTCATTTTCCAGCCCTAGTTTGCTTTCTTTTATTCTTAGCTTTTTTAATATGGAAAGTTTCAAACATTCACAAAAGAAAGTAGAGTAAATAGTAAAATGAACTTCTGTGATCTCGTTACCCAGACTCAACACTTACTAATATTTTGCCATTTTTTTGGTCCCCATATTCCCTA